ACACCACGCAGGGTAAATGCAAGAACAAGCTAACTCCACACACAAGCATATTATTTTCAAACTATAAAAGAATTACAGATGTAGAAAATAATCTGAAAGAAGTCAGAAGGAATAAATACCTTTCTTTTTTCTTTAAAGATTTATCTGTGCATATAAGAGCTGGGGTGTAGGCCAGAGGTGCAGGGGTGAGAGGATTCACCAGAGAGAGCGGGGAACAGAACAGGCAGATCTACGGAAACACACTGCTGAGGGGAGCAGCGGGCGAGACAGGAGAGGTCTGCTGTGCCATGTGGGTAGCTCCCTGCCCGGGGATTGAACTCGTGCTGCAGGGGCTGTGGATTGCTTCACGGTGCTGCGTGTTAACCCTTGCGCCACCAAGTGAAGCCACCAACTTCATGGCTTTAAACTTTACAGATGTGTTATCTCCAGTATTGTCCACCAAAGTCTGACACTGGTCTCGACAAGCTCAGATGAGTGCACCCGTGGGTGCACATTCCTCTCTGGGGCTCTAGAGGAAAGCGTTTCCTTGATCACTCAGGTGTTGGCATAATTAAGTTCCTTGACATGGTGGAACGGAGGCCTCTGTTTCCCAACTTCTAGATCCCGCCCACATACCTGGGGCCAGGGCCGCCTCCTTCATCCCTCCTCGGACCCCTGCCTACCTCCAGTAGGACCACCTCTCTCTCTTCCCCTGGAGTCAGCCAGGAAAGGTTATCTGTCATCAAAGATTCAGCAGATCAGAGTGATCCCTTTAAGGAATCCAGAATAATCTTGCCTCCTGGAATTCCTTAATTGAACCACATCTGTAAAGTTTCTTTCACTTTTATGATGCTCTTTATAAAATATGAAGAATTCAAGATACACACACATACACGTATATATGTGTACATGGATGTGTATAGAGAAAAAAGTCATGATTTTTAAGGACTTAAAGGAAGAAAAGGAAGACTACATTAATTTTCTTACCACCCTTATCTTTATTAGCACAAGTGCCTGCAAATAATTATTATTCATTTTAGTAAAAAATTTTAAGGAAAAAATCAAGTCCTAGCCACGGGGCATTACGACAATGTTATAATCTTACATCCCAGGTTTTTACAATCTTTTTTGTGGAAACCAGACAGTTATATGACGAACAGTTACGTGGTCTATGATTAATTGCTAAAATGAGAGCTATAAACATGTAATCAAATCCAGTATCATGAAGACCAAGGCTATTAGGGAATTTTTTTTAATCCTATAATCTACATCTTACTATCCTATAATCATCTATTTAGATAAAAAATAAAATTTACTAAACTGTAAGTTGGTGAGAAGCGCAATTGAAAAAGTCATACTAAAATTCAAACAGATCATTGCAATATATATTAATCTATTGGGTCTAGGCAATTCATGTCTACCACAAGTTCTGAATAAAAGCCAACATCAGGATACTAAACATGCATTTTTACCCTAAGGTTAAGATGGAAATGAGAACTGAAATAAATAATACACGTCTTTCTTTGAATACTCAAGAGTTTTACTAAGTTTTTAGTGACTTGAACATTTAGACCTCTTGAATTTTAACTTCCTCTGAGAACAATAGAAATACATTCCCACCCTGTTACAGCCTTATCAGCAAGTTCCTATAGAGAAATCCTTTCAACTGAAACAGCTCAACAATAAGGTTTATTAAAAACCCAGATTCTATCAATTAATGATGAAGGCTGGCAAGTTAGTAGTTGAAAATGTTACATACTTCATGTACTTAGGTGAACTGTTTCGTGCCCGTGAGCTACTAACTCATTAATTAAATTATTTAAATGCAGAATTCTCTTTCAATCTTCCCATCATGTGCCAGACGTGACAGCTGGAAACGCCTCCAGGTATTTCAGTAAACAGAGCACAGTGGAGAAAAAATCAGTATCTGGTTCAAATTGCTCTTAAAAGTCAAAATTCAGCTTTCCTTTTCTAGTTGGCATTTGCCATATACTTTTTTTTTTTAAGATTTATTTACTTAGGCATACAAGAACTGGGGTACAGGCCAGAGTTACGGGGAGTGAGAGGATTCACCAGAGACAGAGTGGGGAGCAGAACAGGTGGATCTACTGAAACACACTGCTGAGGGGAGCAGCGGGCAAGACAGGAGAGGTCTGCTGCGCCCTGTGGGTCACTCCCTGGCCTGGTGGCATTTGCCAAATTTTTTAATTCCACCAATTGTCTTTAAATTCTAAACAGTGAAAAACTACTTCCTCAGAGGTTATGACAAAAGAAAACTCAATCACTTTTTAAAGCCATCTACAGCAACCATCAACCTTCACTGCCAGGGAAAGAAGTCATCAGGATTTGAAAGTCGTGAACGTCCGTGAACCACGCCTTACCCTTGTGCCCACCTTGGTAGTGCTTGCCATTCCGCAGCTCCAAAAATTATATGAATTTTAATGAGAGCTATTTTCATAATAGGTATTTCGTAACAGCTATTTTTATAATCAAAGGGTATAGATCAAAGTCAGTGTCACAGTCTTGCTGCTCTGAGAAGCATTTTCACAAGAAAATCAGCTCATAACCTGGGTCAATCCGGAGACCGATTGGAAAATGAGAGCCACGAGAGCATGATTTCGTCCATTATTTAGGGACGTGCAGGTACATTTGGGGTCCCAATGTCACGGCAGGGAAAAGCATGATGTATCTTTTTACCTCCTGCTTTTCCATATATATATATATATATATATATATATATATTTTTTTTTTTTTTTTTTTATTTAAATGGCTTCATTTGGAGATCCGTGAGAACGCAGCGTGGTACCAAAGAAAGGAGAACAGGTTGTGAATTTTTACCTTTAATGGGATCATTTCAACAACTGAAATTTCCTTTTAATATATTCGCATGCTGAATCTCCACCCCACCATCCCCCTCAAAATAGAAAAACAATTCTTGTCTCTGAAAAGGGAGATTTTTTTTTTTAATACTGGAACATCATGCACGAGCGCAATGCAGAATTCGTAAAATGGCAGTGCTGGAAAGACGGTTTTGGGGTGGGAAGACTTCCGGCATGGGGATGGCAAGAGAAAGAAAGATTAATTCCATGATGTTTTGCATCCAGAGTAGAGTCATCCATTGGCTATGAAAGGAAAAATACTCCTCTCAGTTTGGGATGGGGTTTGTCTAGAATCTTTAAACCACCAAAAGGCCATTATGGGGTCACAGGCACCACGAGGAAATCACTACAATTAAATATTTAACTAAATGGGGAAAAACGCAAGTTCTTCTCATTAGGCAAGCCCAAGTTTTATGCTTGTTAGAATAAGCCATTCTTTAAATAATTTATGGAGACAAAACTTGCACTTCCATAAATGGGTCAGAGGGTACATGCAGTTCTTAAAGTTCCTAATGTTGTCTGCAGGCTACAGACACAGCAGAATCTTTACAGCCCTTGAGGTACTGTTTTTAGGAAAAAATGAAAATGAGAGATGAGGTGACGTAGGAACCTTTATGCCAAGGGAATCTTGTCTATATCCCGTAATTCATATATCTGAAAATTATCAATTGAAGGATTAGTAATCAGACTTAAGACACTTAATTTTTTTTAAAGATTTATTTATGCATACAAGAGCTGGGGTGCAGGCCAGAGGTGTGGAGGATAAGAGGATTCACTAGGGACAGAGCGGGGAGCAGAACAGGCAGAATGACTGAAACACACTGCCGAGGGGAGCAGCGGGCGAGTCAGGAGAGGTCTGCTGCGCCATGTGGGTTGCTCCCTGGCCGGCCTGGGATTGAACCCGTGCTGCAAAGGCTGCAGACAGCTTCACAGGTTGTGTCTTAACCCGCTGTGCCACCAGGGAGAGGCCCACTTAAGATACTTTTACATTTTAAAAGATGTTCCCATGTAGGCAATATTCATTAAAATTAAAAAGAGTACTAGGCCCAGCAGTACCTTTCAGATAACCTCATCTCTTTCTCTGCCCCTATCTTAATGCTCCTTAAAAATTATTGATTTATTGCACTGAACTTGAAAGCGTGTTCCTTTTTCTTCTCACTCTATGTTATCCATGGGCATAGACAACTAGCTTTATCCTGACATGCTTTTCATGTTTCGATTTCCATCAAAACAAAGAGCAACAGATTTGACAGGCAGGACTGGGGAGGCGTCAAGCAAGGGAACACAGGAGACAGACTATTCTGAAGCGTCCAAGTTGAAAGTGGTCTCAGTGGGTAAAGAGACCAAAGACAGTATTTGCAGCTGTCAGCTTTGAACCACTAAGGAGCAAGTCATGGAGGAAGAGCCCAAAGATCTTCATGGAATTCCTCACAAATCATTGTTTGACTCTTTAAAATTTTCATGCGCTGGGAAGAAGGAGAAGAAGGAATTTCAGAATCAAGATGATCTGCCAATTTTCCAGAGAAGGTTAGAACTTGCTGTCACGGAGTCTATGCAAGTCAAAATCTGTGATACCTTCTGAACAAGCTGAGCTTAAAATTCATCTTTGAACTAGCTAGGATGAAGAGGATTTGTTTCAAGGTAATAGAAGAACAAGAATCTAAAGCGAACGTTTAACCCTCTCAGCGTTTAAGAACTTCAGAAATGCACCACTGGGGTGGGGCGGGGTGGTGGGGGAGGACTGGACGCCATGCACACCGACAGCCTCCTGACCGACTGCGGCTCGGGGCGCGCTCAGCGCTAGCTCCCGTCTGCAAACACCAGCAAGTAGTAAGGGGTGGTTTACAAAACATCACAGTCCAAACGCTGTGCCACTCAGTCCGACCTGCTCGTAGTGGTTCAGTGTTAATTTTAGTCTTTGTTTCGACCTTGTGCCAATTCACTCCAGCCTTCTGGTTGGAGGCTTCAGGGCACGAGCCACACGGCTGACCCTCAAGAGCCTGGCTCCCGCGCGCGGTTCCCATTTCACTTCCCCATTTTTATCAAAATGTACTGGCTCCCACCCTCCGCTTCGGGCTCTGCCCTGCTCATGAGACAACCAGGATGAGGTAACCCCACGCTGGTCAAAATCAGACTCTGTATGTGGGTATCAAGTAGGAGAGGAGGCAGAGGTTGTGAACGAAATTTTTATTTACACACCGTATCTAGAAGCAGATACATAAATTCTTATACAATTAATTTCCAAAAATGTGCAAGAAATTACTATAATTTGTTTACAAACCAAAACACATATTAAAATCAATGGACTTTGGATAATTCATTCTGTGGTGTTCTCAGTACAAATGGTACACACCTGATTTGAAACATACAGAAAAAGTGTAAACTACAGCAATCGGGATTGCAAGTATTAATTCCATGGCACTCCGACGACTATAAAATTTCTTTAACCCAACATGTATACTTATTACAAAATTCTATAAGAATTTTTCATCATCTCTGGACGTAGTTTGGATTACTTTTCAGAAACAGCATCGATGCATTCACCATGTTATGACTGATTAATAAAAAGGATGCTTATAAAAACCTTCTTTACAGGATTACAAAAGTATTAAAAGAAATCAAATTTGTGATTACTAGCGTACCAATACTTTATTTTAGAATTTTAAAGTTACATATGGAACTGGTGATTGTTCCTTATTAGAGTATTCAACAAAACTGACTATTGCTGGTAGTGTGATTTCTTTTTCAAATTAAGACTTCACATTCCATGAAAAGCTATTAAGATTTAAAATATATTATTTTGGATCATTCATAAAGCGAGAATCTCTCACACACAATGTGAAATGTACAGTGATTAAAATTGGCGTTTCTGAAAGCACTGTCAAGATGGAAATTGAGATTTGTAGCACTGACGGACATTGCATATAACCTATTTAAGATTTTAGTAACTTTCACCCTCTGTCAGAAATACTGGCTCAGAAGTTACAAGGTACACTCTGCTTTCTTTCCCACGTGCAATCACTTAGGCTTCTGGCACAAGATCTTCCACGTCAAGATGGATGCCTTATGTAGCTGGTTTCCTTAAACACTATTTTTAGTTCTATGACCATTTCCTGGGATATAATATTTTTGAACTTCTAAATTTTCATATTATTGCACCAAGTAGAAAGAGGACAGTTTTTTCTTAGAAAGAGAAAAGGTGAGCTATTTTTCAAGTACTTTCTATAGGTTTATTATTTATAAAAATGCATAATAGTGTCCTGGAAAGCCTAGACATAGCTTCTTGCCTCCATCAGATTTTGTGAGGAAGTATTTAACAAAAAAACAACAAAAAAAACCCCTCTGATTCATTAATTGTGACAAGAGAATGCAGTTTTCCTGCTTTCTTTTTCTTTGTAGAAATAAATTTGTAGAAACATCTATTTAAAAATTGCTTATGGGTTCACGTCCATCCCATTTAAGCCACCGTTCAATAAAATCCAGAAAGTTACTCAAATCATATCTAAACCAAACTTCATTTCTTTTCCCCGAGCCCCTGTTTAACCAGACTGTCTCAGAACCACATAAAGCCAACCTCCACGTGATGTTGCGCCACCTCCTCGACGCAGAAGCAGGGAACGGTGCGATACACCTTCGTTGGTAAAGAACTACTTGCCGAATGTTTCATTCAAATCAATACACATTGAAACCCTAGCAATTTCAAACTGGATTAGAATAGGTGGTTTTGAAGTGTTTTACATTACGAATACACAAAAGCAGGCTGAAAGATTGGCTTTCTGATTAGAACAGCATCAAGACTTGCATTCCACAAAATAAAAACACAAAGGACAGTTTTCAAAAGAGTAAAGGAAGATCAGCATCGTCTGAAGTTGGAACCAAATGGCTGGATCGTAAACACACGGGATCGGGAGGGAAACGCGGGGAGCAGGCTGTGCCCACCTAAGACGGGCTTCAGGGCAGTCCAAAGACCTCTGTGCACCAGGATCTCACAAAGATACACATAAATGCTTCTAGACACAGACAGAAGCCATTTCAACATTTATTAACAACGCACAGTGACTCTGTGACTATACCTGTCATCTAATGTAGATGCACAGGGGCTTTTAACTCACCCTAGATATATTCTAAATTGTTTAAAAATAAATAGTTTTGCAAAAAAATAGTTTAAATGTCTTGCATTAATTTGATAACAAGTTTACAACTCTGTAATAGTTTTTAATCCAAATAGCTTACAGTGAACACTTAAGTTATATTATTACGGTTTACTCCATACTCCATCTTATTAGGCGAAAACATGACAAAGAAAGGAGACTCTGTGACAAGGTACAATGGACTTTTCCACCAAGATCAAGTACCTTTCCCCCTTGGACTCACCACGCCCTAACTCGGTATTACGGCACGGTGCCTTTTCTGGGTAATCCCAACGGCGACCCTAAAAAAGAGGAAACAAGGGGACTACGGATATGATGAATGACAGAGCCATGAGGGGTGACTTGAACATCTCCACCCACGTTATCAAATGGCGAAGAGAGGAAAATTGAGCAACAAAGGAAGAAATGGTGTAAATTACACATTTCATCTGAGAGGGAAACATCTCCTCTAAAGCTGGAAACAGTCTTCAGGACGGGGCAATTCTAAAACACTACGCTGAAGAAGCACGCGGTCATCAACACTGACTTTTAAAACAAGTAAAAAATATCGGGGAGAACGCCCCCAGCCCCCCAACACCTGAATCAAAGAGAGAGAAGAACTAATGATGCCAATTTACTTCTCAGCTAAATTAAAAAGAAACAAGCAGAAAACCTATTTTTAAATGACAGTACATATGGCAGGCAGCGAGGCCTCCGTGTCTCACACATGGTGTTAATTAATACTTCTCTTACACGAGGCTCCACAATTTCCTTAACTCTTCAGCTCAAGTCACCAGTTTCTGTTTTCCTGGTAGGGGGACGGAAGGCTCACATCTAGCATATCTTAATAGAAACCACAGAAAAGAAAAAAAAAATATGCTCACAGAAATGTTTTCTTTCTATTCAAACCAGTTTAAAATTTTGTGTACGAACTTTGTGATATAAGAGAATCTACTCCATGTATGGAAATCAGTTCTAGATCAAATTCACCCAAGAAAATGTTGGCTAAGGTACAGAAATCACAGATAAAAATATTTTACCTAAAGAAAGTATAGGGAACACAAAAAATTACTATCACAGAAACGAAGATCCGCTAGTATTTCTTTAATAGTTCCAAGTTCCTAAGTCTTCATAGGTTATGCCCATTTGTATCAGTTTAGTGACAGAAAAAGGCAACAATTTCTAAGTTGGTGGTATGCTTCTATGACTTTTTAAAATGTAAGGCCATTTTTTAAACTAGACAAACTAGGAGATGAAAATGAAAGGCCACAGAGAAACCTGACTTTTCGCATCCATGAATCAGCACAACCTCAAACAGAATTTAGAGGGGAGTGTCGTGGAGGGCACGGTGTGGACCTGCGTTCCCTCACGTCACCCAAGATCATGTCAATTCACAGCTGTGCATAAATCCTTCCAAACAATGAGATTAAAAATCATTTTCAGAGTTAGGTGTAAATTTTGTACTTGATTGCACGGGTGTTTCGTGTAACGCTACTTTTGAACATGGGCCACTGAAAGGAACCACCACTGGTGTTCTGTGAGCTTCATTCCACTTTACTTAGGGTTGAACACACATGAAATGTGCTTTTAATGCATAAAAATCACAGTGGATAGCAGCAAAGGACTGGTGGGGGGGGGCGAGGGGACTCTGACCGCTCACACCGCGATGACTCGCACACGGATGAAGACAACTCACACCTCCGAGACCTCAGAGAACCGAAATGAAGCCAAGACACGGGCGCAGCGCCCGCCTCACACGCAGACTGAACTCACACGGCACGACGGGCTCTGACAGCGAGGAACGTCTGTAAACTGTGTTTCAACCTCCTCTTCCCACCCCACAGTGCAAGACACAGAGTTGTCACCCGCGCTCAGTAGTGCTTCTCCTGCAGATAATCCTTCATCTTGTTTGGCAAAGGCAGTTTCTGGATCAAGTCTATCCGGGTGTACTGGCGGATCACGAAGCGGCACAGGTACTGCAGGGAGCGCACCTGCATGAACCGCGACACCGGGTTGGTGAGTCTCACGGGGTAGGTGGCGGAGCCGGGCAGGCGCGACCGCGAGTAGCAGAACGCGCCGTTCTCGGAGTCCCTGATGGAGTGCTCGATGAGGTCCACGATGGACGTGTGTCCCTCCACGTCCGGCTGCTCGTAGAAGCTGAACCTGCCGTTGGAGTGCTCGATGCGCGTGTGCAGCGTCTTGCCGTGCGAGCGGAAGCTCAGGCTCAGCAGGTAGCGGTCGTCGGAGCTGTCGCGCACGAGGAAGGACCCGTCGGGCACGCTGGCCAGCTTCCCCTCCGCCTCCCAGCGCGTGATCGGGCCCCAGTACCAGCCCTGCTTCGCCAGCTTCTTCAGCTCCTCCGTGAGGCTGGTCACCACCATGGGGCCGCTGCTCTGCACCGAGTCGTACACCCGCGCCACGCCGGGGGCCGAGTTGGGGTCGAAATTCAGGTGGCAGCGCACGCTCTCGGCCACGTGGGCGTCCGGGCCGCCCAGCGCGCCGAAGTTCCTTTGGATCGGGTTGGTCTGCAGTGGAGGTAGCAACGGTGAGAGCGGGGGCGCGTCGTCGCGGCCCGCCCTGGGGCTCTGCAGCATCACCCCCGTGGAGCCGATCAGCAGGCCGTCCACCGACGGGTCCACGAAGATCTCCGGGGCCACGACCAGGTCCTGCTCGGCCGGACCCTCGTCCTCCGAGAAGGCGCCCCCGCCCCCGCGGGCCGGCGCGGCCGAGACCTCCATGGGGGAGGAGCCGTCCAGACAGTAGGGGCGCGGCCCGTCCAGGGGGAAGAGCCCCTCGTCCAAAGGCACGGTGTACTGAAGGTAGTCCTGAGGCACGAGTCCAATGACGACAGGCACGTGGTCTTCCAGGTGCAGGCGCAGGTCCCCGTTCTGCGGCTCGGCGCGCCGCCCGCCCGGGCTCTGCGCGGGGCCCCCGGGCTCGGGCTGCAGCTCGCCCAGGTCCCTGCGCACGCCGTTGAGGGCCGCGCCGGGGCCCGCCGCGTGCACCAGCGCCTTGACGCGCACCTCCATCTTGATGCACGTCTCCTCGGAGGCGGTGGGGCGCAGCGGCCACGGCGTGGGGCTGTAGTGGTGGCTGCGCAGCGAGGTGGAGCGGATGGGCCGCGGCGCGCGCGCGTCCTTGAAGACCACGGGCGCCGAGGCGCTGGAGAAGGCGTCCTCGTCCGCGGGGCCCCCGGGGGCCGCGCCGCCCTTGGCCTTCGGCTTCTGCTTGGCCGACAGCCGGCGCTTCAGCGTGCCCATGAGGCTCTCGCTCTTGGCCCGGCCCTTCGCGCCCCGCTCCTCCTCGCCGCCCACGTCGCAGCTGGCCACGTCCTTCCCATAGCAGCCCCCGAACAGGGGCTCCTCTTTCGCGAAATCACCGGCTAGTGACGGCGGTTGCACGACCATGAAATCTGTTTCTTCTTTACTTTTATTCAAGTTGAAAGATTTTCGGAAGGTTTTGAGACTGATTTTCTTCATTATGACTAGCGACCTAGTCCACGGGATCAAGTTCTCTCTGCAGTATTATCCTCCAACATCTGGAGAGGCTGCAATGCTGCATCTACTTATTTTCCCAGCTTCATTCACCTACTGGAGCCATTTTCTAAAAAAAAAAACAGAATAAAGAAGACCAAATTAAAAAAATAAAAACATCACATTAGAAAAAAATATTTCCACAAATAGCTTAATTTATAGCTGCTGAACCAGGCCAGAGAGTGTGTTCATGGCAAGTCTGACAAAAACGTGGCCCTTCCTCAACATGAAAAAGAGGATAAACAGCAACATACTTTGGCTGGCGCGCCTCTCCTTTAAGGAGACAACAGGTTCTGCGCCCGAAGCGACAGATCCCAATACCCAACCTCTCCTGCCTCGAGTAAGAGCCCCGGTGGATGCAGAGGGACATCTGAAATGGGAAACCACCATGCAGAGGAATTGAGCGGTTCTGTTGTATACTATTAAGATGAATTGCTAGGGCCTCCCCGGTGGCGCAGCGGTTGAGCGCTGGGTTGCGAAGCTGCCCGCAGCCTCTGCGGCGCCGGTTCGATCCCCGGCTGCTCCCCGGCCACCGGAGGAGGGTCCCACATGGCGCGCAGACCTCTCCTGCCGCCCGCTGCTCCCCTCAGCAGTGTCCTTCGGTCCTTCTGCCTGCTCTGCTCCCCGCTCTGGCTCTGGTGAATTCTCTCACCCTCCCGTGCTTCTGACTGTCCCCAGTGCATGTATAAACAAAAACAAAGAAAGAAAGAAAGAAAGAAAACATGCCTCTATTAAAAAAAAAAAAAAAAGATGAATTGCTAACCTGCCCTTAGAAAGAAGCCAATATGAAATATAAGTAAAATAATCTTTTCACCTGGGAATAACAGTATATATAAAATTATGCCAAAATGTAAAAGGTCAACACATATTAAAAAAAAGAATCAATTAGTAAGAGGCAATATCCTGCATCATAGAAATAAACAGTAAGAAAAATGAACAAATTGTTTCTGGTAAAAATGCGGGGAACGTGTCTGCGCCAAGTGAGCCTGTTGGTGGCCCTGACGGCTCTGTCCGCGCCCCAACGAGCCAGGCGGGTCTCTCTAGTCAAGCAGCCGACGCGACCGGTGACTCACCACCCCTCCCACACTCGGCAGGTACTACTGGCTTCCTAGCCATTTGCCTTGGCCAATAACTTCACTATCAGAGAGAACTTCTGAGTATAATTCTTCACAGTCACAGAAATGATACTTATTTGTCTTAATAGGCTAAAAATGATCAGCTAAGGACTAATAAAACCTTGGTTTAAGTGATAATTTCCTGGCTCACTGGCAAATGAATCCAATTTTGTCCACCAAAAAAACGGGCATCAACTCAGCGATTTAAAAAAACATAATTACCAACACCCATAAAATGAAAGGATGTGAATATAAGAGAAAACAAACACCTTTAGCCTCAATAAAAGGAACGCTGCAAAGAATTATTTACAATAATCAAAATCAGTTTTCTTAAAAAAAATATTTATTTATTTATGCATACAAGAGCTGGGGTGTGGGCCAGAGGTGCAGGGTGGGGGAGGGTGAGTCGATTCACCAGAGACAGAGCGGGGAGCAGAGCAGGCAGATCCACCGAGACACACTGCTGAGGGGAGCAGCAGGGAGACAGGAGAGGTCTGCTGCGCCATGTGGCCCGGGATTGAACTCGTGCCACAGTGGTTGCTGATAGCTTGATTGTGCTGAGACTTAATCCCTTGCGCCACCAGGGAGGCCCAAAAAAATCAGCGTCTTTGATAAACTAGATCAAAGGACCATCATGACCTTATACACTCTGTGGAGTGTCACACAACACCTCTCAAACCCAGCTTGACCTTAAGGGTCAGGGCAGTGAACTTTCTAGAAAAGGTGAAAAATATTAATTCAGTTTCTATTTTAATTATAAGACGTTTGAACTCTGTCCCTGGCTTATGCTAGTCCCTCCTCCTGACAAATGCTTTGCTCTTTCTCATCCATCTTTAAGGGAATTCTTTACAAAGAATATATACGTCCTCATGAAATCCGCTCTGGTCCCCCAGCCAGCAGGAAGTTCTCACCCCCTTTTCTGGACTCCAAATACTGTATCTTTTTATAGCATGTCACAGTATGACTTAAAAATTACTTGTTTTTTATTCTTTTCTTACTCTGATAGCTTCCCAACCAGATTGAACTTCTAGAGACCTTTCTTATTTATTTGTCTATTCCTAACCAGGAACTACTGGTTCTACTATGTACTGCTTGAATTTTCTGATACTACATAAATACTTCCCTTTTTTAAAAAGATTTATTAACACATACAGGAACTGGGGTACAGGCCAGAGATGTGGGGTGTGTGAGAGAGGATTCACCAGAGACAGAGTGGGGAGCAGAACAGGTGGACTGACTGATATACACTGCTGAGGGGAGCAGTGGGCAAGTCAGGCGAGATCTGCTGCACCAACTACATAAATACTTTTTTTTTTTTTAATAGAGGCATGTTTTATTTATTTGTTTGTTTGTTTGTTTGTTTTGTTTATACAAGCACTGGGTACAGTCAGAAGCGCGGGAGGGTGAGAGAATTCACCAGAGCCAGAGCGGGGAGCAGAGCAGGCAGAAGGACGAAGTACACTGCTGAGGGGAGCAGCGGGCGGCAGGAGAGGTCTGCGCGCCATGTGGGACCCTCCTCCGGTGGCCAGGGAGCAGCCGGGGATCGAACCGGGGCAACAGAGGCCGTGGGCAGCTTCGCAACCCAGCGCTCAACCGCTGCACCACCGGGGAGGCCCTACATAAATACTTCTTGACAAGTAACAGAAAGAGGAAAATCCTTAGTGAATAAACCACAAATCTGGCTAAATCTCCTCTCACGAAAACAAAGCTATCTTTCTCCTGTTAAAATCTAGAGTCATTATCACAAATGATCAAGGACTCGCGATTCCAAAGAGTCCACACGGACACACCTGCACACATGACACAGCATGCATTAAGGCAAAGGAAATTCTTCCAAATAAGTAACGAGAAAGAGGTAAACATATGAAATAATCCCCCCCTCAAATACTTAATACAACAGTTACCTAAGCACACCTAGAAATAAAAACTTGATTCCAGAAAGATGAGGTGAAAGTAGAGCTGGCCATGGCATTATTTATACAGGGACTAAACTGTCCTCAGGAACAAACATGTAAGATTGTACTAAGCATCCCATAAGGCACAAGTCAAAGACTGTCGTTTATGCTTCCAAGCTGTTTTTCACAGAGCCCTCTACCACCTGTCTCCCTCCATCTGTAAACTACTCTACAAGATCCAAGAGGAATTGAAGATGTTCCATGCAAAACCAAGAGATGACACCTGAGAGCTCCAGAACAGGTCAGAGAACAAAATGACAAACAGAGACAACTCTGTTCCGAGGCAGTAACTTGAAACACGACCAATGACTCAAAGTTGTTACGTCCAAATAGGCTGCAAACAGACACAGGAGAGGGTATGGCGAGTTCTGATCTGCTTTCTAGTTATACTCTAACCTGGTACATTTCTTTATCCACCATGACGATCAGCTCCTCAAAGGACTCGCGACCATAGACATGGCCGTCCTCAGAGAACACATGGTCAGTGGGGAGAACACCCCGGGTGTTCACGGAGCCCGGCGGCCCTTGCGCACACTCGGGGAAAGGCTGTGTGGACAGTGCAGACAGGAAGCAATAAACCAGGAATCTACTCAGCACCGGTGACAGACACCACGAAGGAAAGGAGGCAATCAGGGAACGCTTGGGCTCCTACTGTAGATTCCGTGAGCACTAAGACCCCCTCTCAGGCCTCCTGGTGAGCCAGTAAGACCAAGGCTGGCATGATAAGAAAGAGCCAGTCGTGCAAAGGAAGGGTGAGTCAGCGAGAACAACTTTCATGATTGTGCACGCGCAAAGGCCCTGAGCTGGGGAAACACCACGTGCGAACTCCGAGAAGCCCAAAGTGCCAAAAGTCTAGGGTGAGGAGGAGGCGGAGGAGGAGGAGGAGAAGGAGGAGGAGGAGGGTGGGGCACGGCTAAGCCGCTGATTCTCAGTGAAATGGGATGAAAGAAAAGGTTTCAAATACCAACACAGTACGGTGTCTACATGCACTTCCCAGTTTTTTTCTTTTTTTAACGATTTTGTTTATTTTTGCATAGACAAACTGGGGTGAGAGCCAGAGGTGTGGGGGAAGAGGTGAGAGGATTCACCAGAGACAGAGCGGGGAGCAGAACAGGCAGACTGACTGAAATCCACTGCTGAGGGGAGCGGCAGGGAGACAGGAGAGGTCTGCTGCGCCGTGTGGGTAGCTCCCTGGCTGGGGATGGAACTCCGGCCGTCAAGATGGGCCTTCACAGTGGTAGCACGGAGCCTTCACCCCGAGGCCGCCGGGGAGGCCCACGCTTCCTGTTTTGAGTGTGTACACCATCTCACGCATACACAACTCCACCAGGAATTAACTTTGATGACAAAATAAAAAATGTAAGATGCTAAATCAATCACTTGGAGCCATCTGTGCTCTAGGACAGCACGACCCAAGCTTCTCGAAGAGAACACAGATCGCCCCCATTTGTGTCGAGACTTCAGGTTTAACACGTAATCATCAGAGAGGCTCACACATGACACAACTGCATATGAAGGTTTTATTCATAAGTAATGTCCATTTCCAAGTAATTCTTCATAATGCCCTGGGTTTGTGATATCATTCTTTCCCTGGCCGGCCGGGAATCGAACGCGCGCTGAGGCTGCAGGCAGCTGCACAGCACAGCTCAGCGCTCAACCCCCTGCGCCACAGCCAGGGGGTGGTGGTGGTGGGGGGGGGGTTGTGATATCATTCTAATGACATTAAATAACATTCAACTTCAATTAGAAGTTATTGATTGAAACATGACACCCAGAACAACAGGGTCTATAAACCCATTTGGGTGTCCCAGTTATAACAGCCATTCCATTACAAATGTTTAAGCGCACACATGTGTGCGTGCGTGCACGCATGTGTACAAATAATGCAGCTAGGAATACATACAGACTCATCGTGGGGGTGGGTGGGAAACATCTGGAGTCCAAGTCAAATATTGTAAGCTCAGGTTTTAGGATTCCTAATTAAATTCCAAAAAGTAGGC